TATGTTGATAACTCCCCGCAAGGGAGATGACCTTGTTTCTTGGCTTACCTCGGCCTGCACTACGCCACTAGCATTTTGTTGGGATTTAGAGGGTTGGTCTGTGCGGGTTCCCGAACCGCGATCTCACCCGCGCCCTCGTCCGTTGTAGCCTCCTCGGTGACCTTGCTATCGCTAGACGTATTGCCCGAGGTGACCCTCCTGGACGAGTTCCTCTATATAGTCTTTGAGTGTGCGGCATTCCTCGGTGGTGTGATCGCAGTTTCTGTGGTACCTACAGTGCTTTGACCTATTCGCATTATTGGGACTGTGCCTAAGTGGTGGCAAAGTGAGTAAGTTGTTGTTGCTGGCTTCCCCCAGGATGTGCACTCGAGGCGCACTCAGGGGGGTGTAAAAGTCGTACCTCCCTCCTTTATTTGCCCTAGCAGCCTTCTTGAACTGGATGTCATTGGTGACCTTCATCTTGTCTTTGTGACCATGGTCTGGCTTTGGTTGTGTTTTGCCACGAACCTGGTCACAGAAAGCGGAGTGCTCCTCCATTTGGATGTACCATGCAGCTCGGGCACGGAGTTCGTCCATGTCAAGGGGAGCTCGTCGACATAGGCTATCGTATATTTAAAAGAGGTTGTAAATTTTTTTTATAAATATTAAAATTTTAATTTATAAGTAAATATGATAAATATAAATTGAAATAGACCGGTATTAACTCTTTCATTAAAGACAAACTCCTAAAGACTCTATTGTACTAGATAACTATTCATGTTTATAATTATCAAATATTTTTTGAATTATGAATATATTAAATATAAGTATTTTTCATTGAATAATTTTTTTAATTTCCTTATAATTACATGTTTATAAAATGTAGAAAAGTCAACTATATATATTTTTTTGTGTGAAATTTTGAAAAATCTTTTTGGTGAAATACAAATTTTTAATTAATGGCATTCTATCTATATAACCATTTTAATGAAATATTATATCTAAAGGGATGTTTGGTATAAAAAAAATATTCGTATTTTTTCAAGAATTTAAAGTTGGGAATGTTAATTTCTCACGTTTAATTTATCATCTAGAACATAACATTCTTAATTTATCATCTAGAACATAACATTCTTAAGAAACATTGTTTTGTGTAGGAGAGGTATAATGTTCAATAAATCCAATCCAATTCAAATTGAAAAAATTGGATTAGTTTTTTGACTATTGAAATAATTTGAATTTGAAAATTCAAGATCTAATCAATTTTGTTCGAATCTTGGATTTTGATTTTTAGGAATCGAACCAAATTGATGTATCTAATTAATTAATATTTTATTAATTATCATCATTATTATTAATTATTATTATTATTATATTATTCTGGGTTATCAAATAAATGGTACTAGTAATAGATAAATAATGGACAAGTTACCCACTCAATCTATTTTATTTTTGTTTGAAATTGGTCAATTTTTTTAGATATCAAATGATAAAAATAATGCCAAAGTATTTTGTTTGTCTCATTACGAGTTTCTTATTTGTAAAAGTTAAGTATCGATTACATATTAGGATTTTTATGGTATTGGTTGTAACACTTGAGATATTTTGTTGAGTTTGTAATGTAGATGTTACTCCCTTCGTTTTTTATTCATAATTGTTTTGGCATTATGCTTTTTTTTTTTTCATTGTCATTTTTTAAAATCAATGACTTATTAATTTTCTTTTTCATTTTTATCCTTGATAATTAATGTATGTTTATTGAACAATGTGCCTATTCATTTTTCAATGTACTTATTTCTTCTCCAACCACTAAAGAGTATTACAAGAAAAATAAGTAATAAATACTTTAAAAAACTAAAATATCAATCATTTTCTTAATTATTGTGCATAACCTTAAACGTCAAACAAAAAAAACGGAGGGAGTAACAAACAATAGATTTGTAGATTGTGGTATCAGACATATTTAAGTTTTAATTTAATAATATTTGTTATTTTTTAAGTTTGTAATTTTTAGGCAAAATTCAATGAATCGATTCAATCTAAACTAAATATATCGTATCAAATTGAAAACTCAAAAATAAAGAAATCAAAACAATCGAATCCAATTATAGTTGATTAGACTGAATCATAATATGTTTCAAATCCAATCTGATCTAATTTGTGTCCAATCCTAATTTCTCGAAAATGTTTTTTTATACAAGTTCGCTTCCAAATTGTTTTAACGAAATTAGGTGGAAATTTTATATTCCTAAAAACATTTATGATTAACCAAATAAATTTAATCATTTATGAGAAACATGATTTTTAGTATTTATGATATCCAAGAAACATGATTCTTGAACTTGAAAAAAAATTCTTTCTATTAAACACTTTCTGAAAAAACACCTAAAGTGATCCCTAAATTTGAAAGACATTATCATATTGGTCCTTGAAACTAAAAAAATAAATTATAAAACGTGTCATGAGAAGTACAAATTCACAATAAATTAGTCTAAAATTCAAAAAAGTTTGCAACTAAAATGACAATACTAATATATATTCAAGAACCAAAATGTCAATAAAGACTTAAATTTAAAGATTTATATGAGATTCTATAAATTTATTTAACAATTTTTTAGTGTTAGAGATTAATATTATAGTGTCTTTCAAAATCAAGAACTAAAATGAATTTGTTCTCCATGTTTAATTTTGGGGTATGTTTTTTGTTATACATCTTTTTTTAATTTTTATTAAACAATTTATCACTCTCTCTTTTTTATCTAACCTTATTTTTAATTTTTCTTCTTTACTAGTATTTTAACATGTACATTTTACAAACTAAATATTTTTTTATATAACTAAAATTAATAATAAATTATACATACAAATAAATATTATATTTAAATATATAAATTATATTAAAAATTTGTATAAATATATATTTTAAACATATAAATAATATTTTTGATTTAAAATAAATATCTATATTACATTACGATATTATTTTATTATCAATAATTTATTTTAAAATATTAAATAAAACTTAAAAATATTTTTTAAAAAAATAACTCTTAAAAATGTTCCATAGGTATTCACAATTAATATATAATAAGTTGATTTTTTTTATTTGCTTTTTGAAAATAGAGACGCGGATACTATTTTCCTTTTTCGGTAGTAGTATTATAAAGAAAATATTAATTATCCAATTCCAATTAACACAGATACAAATAAATATAATTCAGTTTGTAAAATTGAAATTAAAAATATTGGAAATTAATTTAATGAACAGTATTCTCAAAAGTTCTAGCTCCACAAAAAATGCACTAGTGAAGACACGTGGCATTCATCTATTTAAAACCCGTGTGTTCTCCTTCGCACGTACCTGTGGCAGCCACACGTCTTCTTCGCACTTCTCTCGTCACGGTTACCTTCTCTTCTCTCTTTCTCCGCTAACGCTTCCGTTTTTGAGTTTTTCGTTTTTCGGTACCGTACTTTCCTTCTCTCAATTCAACTGTTCTCGTTATCTATTCGACGTGTAAAACGGATTTGTGCTTTTGTTAGGGTTCAAATTGATCAGCATTTTCATGCCTCGTAATTTCTGCAATTTTCCGTACTTTTGTAATTGATTGATCGGTAGGCGCTAGATTGGATTTAAATTTTTTAATTACGATTGTTTATTATCTTGTGTATGTGTATGTGTATGTCTATTGTATAGAATCTTCCAATTGCTCCCTGATGCTGTAGATATGGATTTGGAATATTGTCATTATATCACGATGCAGTCTCATATTGTTTCCCTTTGTAATTTCGTGGGATGAATTGTGTATTTTTGTTTGTGTATTGTGCTAATTTTGTGATTTGTCATACTATGGCGTTTTTTTTTTTCATGATGTGAACACGGAACAGTTTTGAAATGATACGTTTCTAATTTCTTCTGATATGTTTGAACTGCCTTTTAACTTTTAGCTTCTTTGTGGACAAAATTATGCCTCATTTTGGTTTACAAAGCACCGCGTGACTGATTATTGTTGAGTGTGTTTGGTTCCATGTTTGGGTTGCGGTTTCTCACGTTTATGGAGAAGCTAGTAGTTATATGGTTTGTGTATCGAGGTCACGTTATCCATAATTCATGTTGATGATGCGAAAGCTACTCTGGGTTGGGTAGCTTCAATTGGACACGCTTAAATTGAGATTTATGACGCGTATCCAAACATGCACATAGTTTCCACTTTCCATGTTTTTTCAGCAAAATTGACGTGGTTTATTGCTTTGCATTGTGTGTCCAAACACTCATGTAATTCGTTGTTTGATTTAGAAGTCAACTATTGAGAGATGGATCAATCGATTTTCTTGCCCTTGAAGGTTTTTTGCTCTTTGTAATAACAGCTTCATTGGTGCTAGTAGTAGTGGCATAATTTTCTTGATTTTCAAATTTACTCTTTTTTGTTGTATCATGTATGTTATATTTCATGGCATATGGATTCATGTGATTGCGATCATAGTTCTGCTCAGAATAACGTAGTTGCTATATAATATGATTGATTTCACGTCACCTGATTTGTATTTTTTTTTTCTGGTTTCTAGAAGAAATTTTTTCGGAAAAAGGAGGCAATGGATTTCTTTCTAAAGGCAGTGAATGGGGATGGACCTGGGTGCCCCTTTGATGTGAAAGACATCCAAAAGTGCCCGTTTTTAAGAAACATCAATGAACCTACAAATTTCTCATTCTCCTCAACCAAATTCTCCATTCCTGTAAGTTATTCATCTTTCTGCCCTTTCTACCAATCTTGTATATCAGTATTTCAAATTTGGGTAAATATTTTAGCTAATTTTCTAAAATATTTAGGTGCATGGAGCCAAGGGTCCTATATTTGAAGATGGTCCTAGTTTTGACATGGCATTTAAGCTATTTCATGGGAAGGATGGAGTCATTCCTCTATCTGAGAAATCTGACTTTCACAATGGCAGCACAGAAGCTGATTCTCTTCCCGTTTTCAACCCTTTAGCAGGAAGAGCTGCTACCATAAGTTTGTCAAACTTTGGACTAGGTGGCCCATTTAGTTTCGGGAACTTTTCTGAGAAATGGAAGAAGCAGAAGAATTCCGAATCATCAAATAAAAAGAAACAGTCACCTCAGGTAAACATGTGTTCTTTATTTTCTTTTTTTCCTTTTCTTTTTGTTTCACACACACACTTTGAAGCATGTTTGTGGAAAGGAAATGCATTCTGTCAATCAGCATTTCATCACGAAGTTTGTTCCTGGTAGTAAAAATGTACTGTTATTATGGCTCAAGAGCATCTATAATCCGTATCGATTGATGTGCAAGATTTTTGCACTCAAAAAAAGAAAAACAATTACACCAAGATAATAGTATTTATTATGGGGCAAAATTTGAATAAAAATGTAATTTTTCATTGAAAATTGAAAACATTAATCAATATGGAATTTTTTTTTGAATGTTAAAACAACATCAATATGGATCTGAGGGAGTAATTTTTATGAACTAGTCAAAGTAACTTTCAAAACATGATTTTCATTGATTTTTCTTTCTCTGTTGAACTTCATTTCAGAACGGAGATGTATCAAAGCATGAGGCACTTGGAAATGAATGGTTGGCAAACGGAAATTGCCCGATTGCCAAGTCTTATAGAGCTGTAAACAATGTTCTGCCCCTTGTTGCAACAGCTCTTCGGCCACCTAGTGGAATGAAGTTTCGATGTCCTCCTGCAGTTGTTGCCGCAAGGGCTGCTCTTGCCCGTACAGCCTTCGTGAAAAACTTGCGCCCTCAGCCTCTCCCTGCAAAAATGCTTGTTATTGCAGCGCTGGGCATGGCGGTTAATGTGCCCTTTGGCATGTGGAAGGAACATACCAAAAAATTCTCATTATCTTGGTTTGTAGCCGTACATGCTGCTGTACCCTTTATTGCCATGCTTCGTAAGTCAGTGGTGATGCCTAAATCAGCAATGGCATTGACGATTGCAGCTTCTATCATCGGCCAGATTATAGGCTCAAGAGCTGAGCGTATCCGACTGAAAACAATAGCTGCTGAGTTGGGAAAAGTGAAAACAGAGACAGTATGCAGCATTGCAAGCTATAATCCCATTCAGCTGGGTGATATTAGGGCCAATCACTGTGGTGCTGAAGGAATGGTCCTCAAGTCACTTCCTGTGAAGGATACTGATTCAGCTTCAACTGCCAGCGTCTATTGATCCACAAAGATGGGAAAGAAATCAATTCGAGTTCTATTTTGAAACAATATTGATTAAATGAAATCGTATTAAAATTGATGAATATAAATAAAAGCTTCGTGAATTATGTATAACATAAACAGAAATTGAGACGTGCAGGAAAGTATCTGGACAATTGATCACTGAATTCAGATAAAATTTCAGTTCGTCTTAAATTATCCATATTCTGATATTTCGTTATAGTACCTCGTACTTGATTGTCATTGAAAGTTCGAACATGTTATCATATTTTAGCTTATTCTTTTTCTAATTGATGATCAATGACTAATTAATTTGTATTTGTAAAATATTTTTTTAGTCAAATATTATTTTAATATAAATAGGAATCAAACTTGAGAATATTAGGTTGATTTCTCTCTATTTCTCAGAGTATATCTTAAACTATTGCATCAAGAGGTTGTGTTGTTTGGTTCCTTATTCTTATTCTTTTATTCTATTGAACTATATAAGAACATACTTTTTATTCTGTTGCACTATAAAAGAACACTCGAAGATAAATAAAAGATAATAATGTTTATAAATAATTAGTATGTGTATCTTGTTTTGGACTGCTGTGTGGCCCATGTCGAGTCATACGTCGGTTCAATGACCAATGGGCTAATGGCCCAAGTCAATGAACAAATCATCAGGAAGTCAAAAGAAAAATGGACGCGGATCCTCTCCAATTATAAAAACTAGTGTCTCAGTAAAAGTAAATCTAACCATCCATTGTAATATGTTAAAATTATTAAATATTGAAATAAATAAATAAATAAGATTTCTTCCAGTATTTTAGTGGAGAGGATATTTTTTTTTCCAAAAAAATTGGTGAAAACAGAAAGGAAGGATCATGAAAATATACGGATGAACGTGCATACAAGAAAAGGAGACTTTTAAAAGACATAAACATATAAGCAGAGACTTTGCACTTCGAAATTATGTTCAAGTTACATCGTAAAGGAGTATTTAAATTAGAATTTACGTGAATTTTGGTTAAATAAAAATCATTTTCAATAATGAATTTATGTTTAGAAATATTTATTTAAAAATTAATGGACACGTGATAAAAGTTTCAATAATGCTTTTTGATGTTTAATTATCGAAAAGGACATTTCTCTTACTTCCAAACAAACAAGAAAAAAAATATTTAGCATTCTTTCCATCTATTTTCTTTTCACTTAAACAACTAATTCTTTTTTCCTTTCTTCTTTCTTTCTACTTTCATTTACTAACCAAATACAGCAAAAGTATTCATCATTGGAATGCCTCTCAACAAATAATATAGTCAAAATAATTCATATAAGCGAGAGAAACCCCCACCTTATAAATAAATTTTATAAAATTAAATTAAGTCCAATTTATATTTATAAGATTATTAATATATATATATATATATATA